CCCAGGTTCGATTCCGGCCAAGGCACGTGCCCGGGTTGCGGGCTCAATCCCCCCCAGTAGGGGACGTACAGGAGGCAGCCAATCAATGATTCTCATCATTGATGTTTCAGTAATATGTATATATGAAGAAAAAAAAAAACGCCCTGACCGGTTTGGCTCAGTGGATAGAGTGTCGGCCTGCAGACTGAAGGGTGCCAGGTTTGATTCCGGTCAAGGGCATGTACCTTGGTTGCAGGCATATCCCCAGTCGGGGGTGTGCAGGGAGGCAGCTGATCGATGTTTCTCTCTCATCAATGTTTCTAACTCTCTATCTCTGTGAAAAATCAATATAATATTTTTTTAAAAAAAACCTCTGGGCACTAGGTTTCTATTAGAGTCCCTGGCAGGTGACCCTCAATGCTTGAGGAATTTTTAAAAATATGAATTTACTGATTTGAGAGAGGGAGAGAAACAGCGATGTGAGAGAGGAACATTGATCGCCTGCCTCCCGCACACCCCCTTCTAGGGGCTGAGCCTGAAACCCAGGATGTGACTTGGCGGGAATCAAACCAGCCACCTTTCCGTGCATGGGATGCCGCTCAACCAACCGAGCCGCTCCGGCCAGGGCAATGCTGAGGAATTGAGTGCAGTGACCCACTGGGCAAGCTGGTTTCCTCCAGCTCTCAGCCCACGTGCCTTTCCCTTTCGCTGATTTTGCTTTGAATTCTTTCGCTGTAACATATTTCAGTCAGGAATCTTTCTAGCAAAACACTGAACCTGGGGGAGGGGTTGGGGACCCTGAGACACCATGGTCGCCATAGAAATAATGACAGTAATAACTTGGTTGCCGAAACCGGTTTGGCTCAGTGGATAGAGTGTCGGTCTGTGGACTGAAAGGTCCCAGGTTCCATTCCGGTCAAGGGCATGTACCTGGGTTGTGGGCACATCCCCAGTAGGAGGTGTGCAGGAGGCAGCTGATCAATGTTTCTCTCTCATCGGTGTTTCTGACTCTCTATCCCTCTCCCTTCCTCTCTGTAAAAAATCAATAAAATATATTTTTAAAAAAATAAATAACTTGGTAGATGGCTTGGTGACCCCCCACAATCCGTTCTCCCCCTCCTCCATGGTAACAGAATTTCATACAAGCACATGGCCAAGCTGCTCGAGTTGACGTTTTCATTCCCAGGGCTCAGCATATAAGAGAGAAATGCACTGCCACCTGATTTAAGTGGGGTCTTTTTGTTAACAGCAGCTTAGCATATAAATAATAAACACCCATAGGTCCCTGAGCACTACTCTGAGGGTTTCAGTGCCTGATGGCATGAGTGCTTGATAACCTTTAAACCAGATGTTCTTCCCAGTTAAGAGCGAGAACCCAGAAGCTTCTAGAGGGAAGTGAGCTGCCCCAGGACAGGGAACAAATAGAACGAGGGTGACCCCTGAGCCACTACTCCCTCCCTGCTAACCTGAGTGTCAGGGCAGTGCAGTAGTCACAGTAAGAATGTCACTGTTCCCCACAAACAAATCTAGAGAAAGAGAGGAAGCACGTGCACTGGACAGAGCCTGCCAGACACACAGAGTTTATCAGAGACAGACAGACAGAGCCAATAAGAGAAGAAAGAGCCCTAGTTGGTTTGGCTCAGTGGATAGAGCGTCGACCTGCGTACTGAAAGGTCCCAGGTTTGATTCTGGTCAAGGGCACATGCCCAGGTTGCGGGCTCAATCCCCAGTGTGGAGTGTACAGGAGGCAGCTGATCGATGGTTCTCTCATCACTGATGTTTCTCTCTCTCTCCCTTCCCCTCTGAAATCAATAAAAATATATTTTTAAAAAAAGACAGAGAAGAAAGAGACAGGTGAAGGAAGTCAGATGGCGAGCACACACCTGACAGCAAAAAAAAAGAAGAAGAAGAAGGAAAACAGAGACAGGGAGCATACACACAGGCACTGGTCAAGAGGGGGAGAGAGAGAAAGAGCCGGACGGAGGAGCTGAAAGAGAGAGAGACGCACAGAAAGATGGACAAACAGGCAAACGGTGCATCTGAGAGAGGAAGAGAGAGAAACAACGGGGGCCCCTTCCCAGCTCCTACCTTGGATTTGCGGTCGGCAGCGGAGGTATCTCCAGCTCCAGAGAGATGAGGGGACCCTCTGCCCCGGCCCCTCCGGCCGCGGCCACCAGCTCCTCCTCGAGGCTGCTCCCCAGGACTGTCCTCCCAGGTGCGGGAGGCCCGGCCCATGCCTGCCCGGCCCCCCTGCTGGGGGGGAGTCCGGCCTCCTCCCCTGCTGGTCCCCGGGGGCCGAGGGGTCCCCGGGGGCCGAGGGGTCCCAGGAGCCCTCCGGAAAGGACCCTGGTTCTTCTCCTGGAAGAGGGGGGAGGCGGGGAGGAAAATTCCAGTCACTGGAGCAAGGAGACCAGGACGTCCCAGGGCAGCTGCCAGGATGAAGGCACCCACAGATCTGGGGCAGTGGGGAGGGCTCTCGGGTCTCAGCTCTCCCTCTCCCTGTCCTCTGAGGTCCCCCACCCCAGTGTGGGGCTCACCACGTCAATAGCCACATTCTCCTTCTCCAGCGAGCGGCCCTTCCGGGGAGCTGTCACGGCGACGCCCTCCAGTTCAGCTTTTTTACGATCCTCCTCGATCTCCTGGGAGCAAACATCAGAGTGATGTCGGGGTGAGTGCCTGGCTGAACTCCCAAAGCCCCCTGCGTTTCTCCCGAGTCTGGCCGCAGCCCAGGCCTCTCTCCTGAACTCCAGGCAAGAAAGCTGGTGACCTCGGCATCTTCCCCCAAACTGCAGCCAAGTGCTCGCGCTCAGAACCGTCCTGTGGTGCCGTCTCTGCGTAAGGGAAACATCTGAGCGGCGCCTGAAGGAGGTGAGGGGCGGAGGGCGTCTGGGGGAAGAGTGTTTCCAGGGGAGGAAAGAGCTCCATGCTGCTCTGGCCCTCTCCCCGTCCTGACCAGTGCGTGCGTGTGCGTGTGCGTGTGTGTGTGTGTGTGTCTGTGTGTGTGTGTGTGTGTGTGTACTCTCCCTGTCTCTTCCTGTTTTCCTTTTTTTTTTTTTTGCCATTGAGTGTGTGCTTGTCCACCTGCCTTCCCTCTCCTGTCTCTTTCTTCTCCTGGCACTGTCTATCTGTCTGTCTCTGATGGACTCTGTATGTCTGGCAGGCTCCCTCACAGCCTCATCTCCCACCCTCTCCCCCTCACTCACTCTGGCCTCCTCACTGGTCCTAGAACATGGCGGGCTCAGACCTGATTCGGGGCCTTCGCACCTGCTGTTTCCTCTGCCGAAAACACTCTTCCCCCAGAGATCCTTCAGTCCTTCACTCCTTCAGGCCTCCGCTCAAATGTTCCCCTTCGTAGGCAGGCCTTCCCTGACCAGCTTATAGAGACCAGCGCCCCTGCCATTCTCCCGCCTCTCCCTCTTCATCCCTGGTCTTCATCCCTGGCGTTATGTATATTTCACCTATTGTCTGCCTCCCCCTGCAACAGAATCTGCCTGAGGGCAGGGACATCTGTCTGTTTGGTTTGCTAATGTACCCGGAGCCTAGAACACTGCCTGGCACACAACAGAAACTCAATATGCTTTTTTTTAAATGAATGAATGAAGAATGAATACATGAAACCCCATCCTCCTCCCAGGCCCCGTCTCTGGGACAGCCCCACCACCTACTGTCACCTTTGGCAGGGACCTGGACCTTGTCCTGGACTCTCCCCACTCCTCTCCACCTCACACCACTGTCCATCAGTCACTGAGTCCCTCCCCATTGCTCTGTCCCAAGCCAAGCACCTCCTCTCTCCCCAGGTCCCTGCCTCAGCTTCCTCCTTGGCCTCTGGTCTCCGGCATTGCCTTCCCCCATCCACCACCACACACAGCAGCCAGAGGGGGTCTTCATAAAAAGCTATTCTGACCTGGCCCCACTCCTCTCAAAGCCCTCCATGGCTCCCCAGTGCCCTCAAGAAGTCCAAACTCTCAGTCTGACCCCTGCTGACCTCTCCAGGTCAATATGCCCCACTGACCCTCTAATTTTAAGCTCCAAGTTTTTACACAAACTGTTTCCTCTGCTTGAAACATGCTCTGCTCTACTTTTCAACTGGCTAATGTCTACTCACCCTTCAGGTCTCAGAATCCCCTCCTCCAGGAAGCCCTCCATAATATCCTCCAGGCTGGGCTCCCAAAGACCCCCAAAGATCCCGGCCTGCCTACTCTGGGTCATCACTGACTGAAGACAGCTCTGTGCCCCCACTGACTGTCACCCCTGGAAGGGCAGGTCCCGGGCTGTCTCAGTCACAGCTGTTTCCCCAGCACCACTCAGCACAGGGCCTGGTACAGCAAAGACCTCGGTGAATATTTGTGAATGAACGATGGAATGATGGCATGGAGGAAGGAATGCCAGGCTAAGGCCTTTGGCTTTTATCCTGAGAGTGAAGGGAAACCATGAAAAGGTTTTAAGAAAAGGAGAGGGGAGGGAAACTCACTGCAGGGAGGAGAGGGGATGGGGTCTCCCAGGGCAGGGCTAGGGCACCTGGTAGCGCCGGATGAGGGCCTCATTCTTCCGTCGAAGAGCCTCGATCCTCTTGTCCAATTCAGCATCCTTCTCCTCCTTTGATTTCAGATCCAGCGTGGCTGACTGAGACAGGGAGACAGTTGAGAGACAGTAAGAAAAACCAAGTTCTGAGTCCGGCACCTGGACCCCCTCCTCCCAAGCCCCCTGCTGCAAAGCTCAGATTCAGAAACTGCCATCTCACCATTCTGCTGACTGGGTGGGGCCAGGGTCCCAGCAAACCTTCCCTACAAAATGTGGATACAGCACTGGGGGTTCCTGAGAGCAGAAGAAACAACAGAACTAAGGCCAATGCCCCCACCCCAACCTGCTTCCTCTCTCCCATCATAGTGTACACACACACACACCTGCACCCCAAAAGAATTCTGGCCCTCACTCTCAAGTGCTCTACTTGAAATACCAGCCCGCCCCTTACCTGGAAAATTTTAAGCTCCGCCCCCTGTGAACATCTGGACCCACCCATTTCCCTGTAAACACTAGCGTCACACCCACCTTAGGAAAGTTCTGCCCCACTCCACAGCTTAAGAAACCAGCTAACGCGGCTTCCCTCCAAACGTTCCCCAGTCCAGCCTCCACACCCTGTGCTGAGAGTTTTAACCGGGCCTCCATCTCAGGAGAGCTTTAGCTACATCCTCCCCGCCCCCCAACCTGTACAAGGAAGTTCTAGGCCCACCTCCCTGTGCCCATTGTGATGCCGCTCACATTCCAGTGAACATTCTAAGTTCACTTCTTTCCCAGGAAAGTTTCAGAAACATCCCATAACTCCACACTCTAAAAGAGCTCGAACCCCACTCCTACAGGCTGCCCCGATGCCCAGAGAACATCCTAAACCCACGCCTCCCTCAGGGTGGTCCCAGCCGCGATCCCACCATCGCGAAAATAATGCAGCTGCCTCCCTGCAAAGATTCCGAAAACAGGCCCGGTACCCACTGGCGCCTGGCCCGACCTCCCCAGGGATGCTCTCCCGGGCCCGGACGCGGAGTTTCCCCGACCCGCCCGTGGCTTAACAGGAAAGAGCGCCAGCATCACCCCGTCGGGAACGCTATGGCCCCGCCCCCCCGCCGGGGCAAACTTTCTGGCCCCGCCCACACTTGGTGTCATTGCTCTGGCCCGGCTTCCGA